GTGTATTATGGCCTTTCTGATATCTCTTGGTTTATTTTCAGAATGGTGGAGATGAGAGGATCATGATCTGGAGCGGGTGGCTAGGGTGCGCCAGGATTGACTGATGATCATATTCAGTAGATCATCGCCACTGAGGTGGCTGCTGTTGTCCATAGGTCTATGTTGAATATGTTTTGGTATATCAAGACCACTATGATTGAGCTCTTTGATGATCAATATGATTCTCATTATGATGTTGTTGTTGTTGCAACTACTTCGGCTATTTGTACTGTGGGGATTCGAAGGGATGGATCCTTCCAGTATCGTGACTTCGACAATACAAAGCCCCTCGGAGTTTGTTGGGGTCAGGGACCCATTTGTATCGATAAGGTAGTTGTCTGATGTGGATGTTTGTTTTTAACGTGTTCTTGCCATACTGACTAGAAGGTCAAGTGTGCCCTATGAAGCATGTTAGAAATTAATTTAGAACAATCTAGATCCTATAAAAGTTGTAAAGGACATGAGATCTAAATAAGATTTTTTTGGCTCAATTAAAGTCTGAAGAGTACAAGAGAATGTTTTGAGTAAAAGTGAAATGACTCTAAGTTTGTTACCCTCTTTCTATATACTTACCCTATTTATAGGGTTCAATATACTAACAAAAAATACAAGGACTAGACATTAAGTATCGAAACTGAACTGCCTTGTAAATAGATAATGTATCAAAACCATATTGCTTTCGACACTTTATAGACTCTGACTACTTTCGATCTCTCACTATATACATTCAACCCAACATTCTCCCCCCTAGTGAGAAAAGTCAAATATTAAGCAATCATCTTCATCATCTATAAAATCTCTCTTCTAATTTCCATATACCACAAGATAATCTTCCTTATCTCTTCCTTCTCTCTTTCATCATTCTTTTTTGCTAATTGTTGATTCGAATCAATATATTATTGTAACGGAAATTTGTATATATTTCCAAATCAGAGACTTGAAACAAAAACTTTGTCAAATTCCCTCTCTTGTTCTTTCCCTGGAATACAACACCATAAAGCTGATGAATGGTTTCTCTATCTTCAAATTCATTAATATTTAACTTTTCCTTCGCCAGAGTTTTTGGTACTTTCGCAGTCTTCTTGATAGTTATGGCAAGATCAATCTCACTAATGGCTAAGTATTCATAGTAGTTATCCAGAAAAGCCTTAATATGACCAAATCCAAGAATAAAGTCATTTTTGTTTGTCTTTGGAATCTTCAACACATCCACATTGATCAATTTCCTTGTGATTGAGATAAGATCATTCAAATTCATCAGGGGAAAATCAGCAATAGTGATCTCAAACTCCACATTGTTTGGTCTTACAATAGAATAATGAAAGTTCTGAAGTAAACCCTCAAAAAAAAGTATCCCTTTCAATTTTCAGTACCTTCACAATCTTCACCAAAGACCATACATCATCTTCATTCTTTCCTAAGATTGAATGAGAGTGAATATTTAGCCTTTTGTATTCGTTTCTATCTTTAAAGTTTTCTACCAATTTGAACTGTGGGTATGTGAAAAGCATGTGATTCATAGAAAAATCGAGTTGACTGAAATCAAAAATTTCAGTCTGAAAACTCTTCTTCGGACTTTTAAGAAATTCATCATTCTTCCCAAAAAAAGCTATTTCTATTGTTACGTAATGTCGCACCCCAAAACCATGAATGGCAGAAACATTCTGGGGCGGAGGACGTCATGTACAGTATCATAATAATGAATAGTAGTAAACAAGCAACAACATCATCCATTGCATTAATAATATAATTTCATACATGTGTGTTCTGTCAAAGTTATAGACACCAAAAATATACATATCAAAATAAAAGACGAGTCTTGAACGAACTCCATCTTCTCAAAATCCTGACACCTATACTTGTCTAGTGGTGACCTGAGAATACAAGTTATTTTGAAAGCGAGTATCAGCTTAATGCTGGTGAGGTGATAAGTATATTAATGTCTGAGTTTGTATGAAAACGTTTGAAAGATGTTTCTGTAAGATGTTTTGTACAATGTTTTGTATAATGTTTGAACTCTCCTAGAAAACACTATGTTTCCTACTAACTGTAGCCTTCTACCAAGGCATCTCGTGTCCGTGTGTATGGCTCTTGTTAGAGTGTGTGTTTCCCAATTCTGACTATCATTAACCAAAAATATAGTTACTACATTACCGTGCATTGTGTGAATATTCACGAAGTGAATGTAATGGGAAAATATTATCGTACCGTAGTATTTGTAATAAGTGACTACCGTGGTACTAACTACCTTAACACAAAAGGTGTTCCATGTAACATGTGATCGACCTGTATCCTGCTACCGACTCTAGTAAAACGACGATGTAAGACGCCGTAAGAAATGACATTTGGCACCCGTAGACTTTCAAGTCCCACTGTAGCGAGCAACAAGGTGTAGGATAGTCAATCCAGTATAGATCTATACGCAAACTCATACGCTCTCCAATTAAGGAGATTCAGGATACAAGAGCGGTCGTGGCAGGAAGTTCCATGACCCACTCAATGGTTCACATAACTTCATGAATATATATATGTAATGAATGTGCTAATTGAAAGTGTAATATTTCTCTATCTAGCCTGTATATACTGAAATGTTCTGCGTGTGCTAGCTGTAATGTATGTTCTCTCTATCTAGCATGTATAGTAATGTACTGTGTGTACTAGTTGTAATGTATCTTATGTTTTTATCTAGCATGTATAGTAATGTACTGTGAGTACTACTCGAAATGACTCATGAATGAACTGACTCCTTGTATGTTTCATTATTCTAGCAATAGTATTAGTGTCCTCCTGTGCTACCCCTATGGTAACTTACTAGTGATGTAACTGGTATGTATGAACATGGAAGTATACCCTTGCTACCCAAGGGTACCGAATGAATTGAAAGGACCTTATGACTATCTATGTACACATGATATATAACTAATATTTAAATGACCTTCGGACAGATACCCGATATCCCACCAGACGACATCTCAAGCGCGAAAAGGAAATCGGGCGGGCAAGCCTTCCTAAGCCTTTTAAACATTACTTATATAACTATACGTACATAGACATGCAATTGATAATAAGTATAAAAGAGTTTAAGTACAAGTATTTGATAAGTAAAAGAGTTTGTAAAACAGTTTGAAACAATACAGTTTGAACAGTAAGAAATCACTGGTTTTGTAGTTATTAATCACATGTGAATTATGTAATAACTATAAGTATTTAACTTGTATTCCACCCTCCCATAAAGCATTTAAAAAGATTTAAATCATTGGTTAAGGGGTATGAACTCACCTGTAGTGAGTGGTACGGATGAACTGAAGATGTAGGATCGTTAGGTGACAAGTGAAGTCTTGAACACACTTTATAATCCTAGTTAACATATAATACCACATATATGTATCCAATTAGTCTTAAACTACTAATTGATAATGTTAAGACATCCTAGAACATAATAAACACTTTATATAAGTGTTATAAGCCCTAAGGATTGCATCTAAGTTGTTGTGGGACAAGGCTAGTGAGTTTAGGGTTCCAAGGGACCACATACATGAGTTTACTCTCCAATAAACCCCACACAAGGAGTTTATGATCACAAACCCTTGAGTTTACGGACGTGAACTCCTAAGTTTAATGTCATTTGGTGTTTTGAAGTTGTAAATGATCCCTAGAAGCATTCCCACTTGGTGGATTAATTCTTGGAAGGGTTTAGGGCACTTATACACTCCTTTGAGGAGTTTACGACCCCAAGGCCAATTCCTTTTGAGTTTACTGCCGTAGAAAAAGGGTGTTTTTATGCTTTCAAGTCCCATGCTCATGTAGGATAGGTTCTAGACATTTATATAAGGCTAATGAAGGCCTTAGGCACACTTTGGTACCCTTTCTTGATGTTCACAGCACAAAGACCATTTCCCTTAGATATTACGGCCGTAATCTCTCATGGGGATGGGCATTTGATGATTTAAAGTCCTTAAATTCACTAGAAGTAAATCAAGGCTATTGTCCAAGGCTTTAGGAGTGGTTAAGGCACTCTTTGGCCTTTGAGTTTGGAGTTCACGGTCCAAGAACGTCTTGGGCCGTGAACACCTAAATCTTGGTGTTATTGGATGATTTCTAGTCTTAAAAATAGTAGCATACAAGCCTAAGGTGCTTACATATCATGGGGAAAGGACTAGGCATCATTTAACCCGTATAAAAGAGTTTACTCCCCAAGGTGTTCTTGGGCGGTAAACTCTCAAATCTTGTGGTTTTGTTATGATTTCTATGTTATTAAGTACTTAATAAGCTATATAATACAACTAGAGAAAGGTACTCATGATTTGGGATGAAAACCCGAAGATCCGTGAGAGAGAAATGGCTTTTCTCTAGTTGGAAATGTAACTAATGAAATAATTTGGTTAAGAATCATATATATAGTCCTGGGATTTTTGGCAGAAAATATTTTTATACAAGAAATGAACTCTAATATCATAGAGTTCTGAAATAACAGAGTTGCACAAAACCCTAGTGCATCCACTCTCCTGATATCTCTTTAAGTGTAAACCCTTGAATTACTCAAACTTATACTAAAAAGTCTGAAAACTTACTGCAACTGTTTTGACTTCTATTGAAGTGATATTGTTTGTACAAAATAGAATTCGAGTTGTCACACGTAACACTAGTGCTTGTTCAGATCACATTTTTTCAAGCCTGGTGGGTCATTCTCTCTTTGTTGAAGAATGTTATTTATCTGCCTTTGACGTTCCAACTTTATTGCTTGTAACGTCTTCTTTTCCTCATCCGATTGGTTAATTAGAATGGCCTTTCCTTTGTCTTTCGGATCAACTATTGAAGTTTTTCTGACAAGAGCGTTACTCGAGCATCCTTCACTCTCCTTAACCGAAATTCCTTTCAATGGAACTTTCGGCACATTTTTTTGTTGTAGAAATTGTTGTCGAAGATACAGTTATAGGATTCATATGGATTATTGTTGGAATTTAAGTTGAAATAACCTTCCCAACATCAACTCCTTTATCATCACTAAAATCTTTTGAAGATCTAGCTCCTCCAACTCCTATATCTCTTCCTTGTGAAACTTGTGCAACACGAGGAGCATTTGTTAGTAAAAGAAATACCAAACTAAGGATTGGAGCCAAATCAACTTTGATGTTCGACTCAATATTCGAAACCATTACTAAGATAGATTCTTGAGAGATGTGAGATTGATTCGAAAGATCCACCTTCAATAAAGTATCTTTAATACCAGACACAAATTCCTCCACTTTCTCAAACACCTTTTCATCCTTCTCATACTTAGTTTGAAACTGATTTGTATACTCGTTGAACTCAACCAAACGAGTTATGGCAGTAGAAATAATATCCACTTTGCCATGCAACAACATGTAATTTTCCTCCAGCTTCTTGGCTTCTTCCAACATCAAAGATTTTAACTTAGCAACCTTAAGATCAAGACACTCCTTCATTGCATTCACCTTTTCCATAAAATATTCATGATGTTCCTTAGTAACATCAAAAAGCTTTTGAATTTCATGATCAAAACTCTTTGAATGAATAACCAGTCATTCTTCTTGTTTCTACTCAACACCCTCAATCAAATTCCGCAAACATAATTCTTGAGCTTTCAACAAATAACCCATCTCAACCCCAGTCACATAATTCATCCCTCCACTATCTGCTGTAATTTTAAGAAGAGAATTGATCTTTGAGTTCAGTATGTTGAATTGCTTACCTAACATGATTATTTCATCAAGAATATCTTCTTCTTCTGGATTGAATTGAATATCTAGGAACAAAACCATGACATTTTTATCATCAACTTAGTCTCCTTGAAGTGACTTCTCACTTGATTGTGAGGAGAAAAGAATGGTTATGGATTCTTGCATAACACCAAAAAAATTGTTGGTGAGATAGTAGAAACAGAAACGAACATACGAATGGGTGATGTTGGTGGTGGTAAAACTGTTGTTGTAGTGATGGAATGAATTGAAAGTAAGTTATTGACCAACAATGGATTTGTTGGGTCAACCAAATTAGGCATCAAATCAGGAATTCGAGAAACATTGGGAGAGACTTTAGCGTCATCCACGAAAACCCTTGGAATAGTCATCGTCGGAAATTCAGCAGATTCAATTCCATCAAGAATGAGAATATTTTCCTGACTGTAAATTTCTTTCAACATAAATCCCCAAAACCTAGCACTTGATACTCTTGTTTCTAGTTTCATGTGAGAGATCAAGATTCTAATTTCTTCCATAAGAGTGATGTATAATTAACATTTAGACCATTGTATAATCCCGCCATACCAAAATATACTTCAAGCTTGGCTTTGTCAAGCCCAATGCATCTTCAAACAAATGGAAGATTGTACTTCTTAAAGTAACTAATTGCAGTGAGTGTAGGTTGATCTTCTATTTCATTGAACATATGAATAACTTGATCATTCATGGCTTCATAAAAAGTACCTAAAGTTGGTAGTCACAGGATTTGTACAAACTATTTCTGGGTGCACTTCTTTGATTTTGAGTTTGTAAGCTGAATGTAACGAGCTTGGTTGTTTTGTTGAACACCACAATTGAAGCAGCAAGAGACAACCATTCCATTTGGGATTTGTAAACGAATAAGAAAGAGCAAATGATAATACATATTTATTCAGTGTTTGAAGAAGCATCCGTAATTCCTCTGGTATTGATCAAGAGATGGAACTAGACGAAGATTAGTGTGTTGGATCTTCATCATAGGTTGCAAAACCTCGTCGTGATTGGTTAGTATTTGATCAACATTACGTGGAGAAGCAACCATTGTAGGGAATTGGAGAGGATATGAAGAATTTTAGAAGAAATGAACAATTAGGGTTCTTGAGTTTTAATCAGGTAGCATAAAGTTGAAAAGGACATCACCATCTTCTTTTTATAACTGGCATGATTTTTTAATTCAAACCACTACCCAATAAGAAAATGCCACATGGAGTGTTGGTTATTTAACCGGTACCATAAAAATCTCCATCTAATATAAGTGATCATCACTTTGCTCCTTGATTCCCATGAAAATCTTGAACCATCACATACATCGATTCTTTTGCATTTCGCAATTAGATAAGAACCATTGCAAGTTTCGTCACCAAATGAGTACTCTATGAGTTTCATTACCAATCAAAAGCAATTATGTCGGAATCGAGGCTAGGCTCATTCACTCTTGGGATTGTTAAGTGAACTCATATGCCATACTTTGCAAAATCTAAGTTTCAAGTTGGCAATACCCAAACCATCAAGGAATTTCGTTCTTTCATGTGCCAAAGAATGAGACTGAAGCAAGAAATTTTTTATAGGTATCGTGATATCAAAAATCCTTTGATATGAAAATAGAGTGATCCTGAGCAAAGATCTCTTCATTCAACATCAAGAGAGATGAGTAATTGTTTCTGTAGTTTCCCTTGAATTACAATCAAATACTTGTTGATAAGTATTGAAGGGCCTCTGTTTCTTTTTGTTTCAAAGGTGGCTTCAATTTTACACAAGATCACAAGTTAACATAAGTGTGAATCAGTTGTGCAAAATTACATGGATGACCAGTGTATGATTATAAGTAACAAGAATTCAGAGAAGATACTCAAACATAAATCTCATCCCCGAAAAAAAAAATGAAAAACTCGATCTCTTTGGGAAAAAATGTCTCGAGATTAGAACATTTTATCAAGATCACACATTACGAATGAAAATGAGATTTTGAATATTGATATAATACAATGAAACAAGTGCTTCATGAAAATCTTGAACAAGAATGTTCACTATCAATTCATTGAAGTTGAAGTTTGTTGGGTTTCGCTATCATTATAGAAGAATGATTCAGGATCATTAACACACAGTTGTAAAATACCTATATCCTAGTAGGTTTCAACCAGAGATGTCTTGGGTATGTGTCATAGTGTGTGATCTTGTAAGAAATTTTGGGTGAAAAAGATTTGGTGAAAGAACTCATTGGACCTCTGCTAAAAATTTGGACCAAGTAGAAATCTCTTAACTCATCATGAGAAGAGAAAGGTAGCTCATCGACTAATGTGAAGATAGCCTGCTTGGGAAGAAACTTCCATGTGAAAATTTTTATTAAGGCTTCGAACACAAAGAGTATTTGAGGCTTTGAGGATGACATGATGCAGAATGCTTCTAGGGATACTCAAATAGGACCTAATTTCGAATAATACATGTTCCCTTGATTAATATTCTCATGTGGCATGCGAAATAGCATCATGTTGTTACAATGAGATTCCAAAGAAAATATTTTTGTATTTTTGTATTTATTAAACAAAATAAAATTTAAGAAAATCTTTTTGGATTTTTTATTTTTAGAAAAAGAAAAAAGAAAAATAAGAATTTTTTTTGGATTTTTTATTTTTAGAAAGCAAGACAAAAATAAAAATAAAAGAACTTAAAACGTTACCTAGATATTTTCGATTGAAAATCTATCAGTCTCCAAGAATAGATTGTGCATCGAAAGTCTTTTATCAGATAAAATTAGAATCTTGTAATAAACGATTCAGAAGGAAGTCAAATGTGAATGCAGTCGAATGCTTAACGTGAACAGTAACCTCTATACAGAATAAAAACAATCGAAAGTCAATAAAACACACAAAAGTTATTCCCACTAATCGAAAGTGATAAAAACAATCGAAAGTAAGGTAAAACATATGTTCGAGTCAAATTCAACAAGAATGTGGAACAGAACATGGTTCCATCATTCCCAGTCCATTCAAAATCCTTAAGAATGTTTTTTCATCTAAAGGTTTTATGAAAATGTCAGCAAGCTGATCTATTGTTTTGACAACATGGACTTATAATGTTTCCATCTTCAACGTGATGTTTGATAAAATGATAACAAAGAGCAATATGTTTTGTTTTCGAATGGTGGACTTGATTGTGACAAATGTGAATTGAGTTTTTAGAATCACAATATACAGATATTCTCATAGTGTTGATTGCATAATCACACAATTGGATTTGAATCCAAATCACTTGTGATGTGTACATATAGTAGCAACAATGTTATATTTTACCTTAGCTATCAAAATAGAAACACAAGTTTGCTTTTTCGATTTCTAACTCACAAGTTTCCCATCCATAAATTGACACCCTCCAGTTTTTCTCTTGCGATCCAATTGACATCCACCTAGGTCCGCATCAGAAAATGCTTGGATAAAAATCCTATTTTCGAAGGATACCACAATCCTAATGAAACTATACCTTTGAGGTATTGAAATATATTCTTGACTACAGCAATATGGGGTTCTCTTCGATTCGATTGGTACCTATCACAATTACATACAACAAACATAAAATCAGGTCGACTTGTAGTTAAATATGAAAACGAACAGATCATGCTCCCATACGTCATGAGATCCACATCAAGCTTATCCAACAAAGTACTTAAGTGTGTGCCAACAACCATAGGTACTTGGACTTTTATTCTATTCATCATGCCAAACATTTCAATCAAGTTTCAAGTATATTTCTCTTGATTGATAAAGATTATGTCCCTGCTTTGATGAATATATAGACCCCAAAAGTTATTAATTTTACCCATCATGCTTATTTCGAATAAACTTTTCATTAATTCCTCAAATTCCTTAGATAATGAAGGATCAATCGAACTAAAGATAATGTCATCGAATAAAATTTGAACGAGCATCAGATGATCCCATACTTTCTTTCAAAATAAAGTAGGATCAACTGATCCTAGTTTAAATTTATTAACTTTAAAAAAATATGTCAAAGTTACATACTAGGCATGAGGTGCTTATTTCAACCTATACACTGCGTTGTCTAAATATAACAGTGATCAGGATATTTATCGTTAACGAAACCTGGTAGTCATTATACATACACCATTTCTTTCGGAACACCATTGGGGAATGCATATTTCGCATCCATCTGGTAGACGTCGAAATCCTTGTGAGTTGTATAAGCTAGAAAAATTCGTACCGCCTTGAGTCTTGTGACAGGGGAAAATGTTTCCTCAAAATCAATACCTTCTTGTTGAGAATAACCTTTTATGACTAGCCTTGATTTGTTACTAACAATATTGCCTTCTTTGTCATTATTATTCTTAAAAATCCATTTCAGACTAATTATTGAAACATTTCTAGGTTTAGGAACCAATCTCCAAACCTTGTTTTGTTCAAATTCAGCAAGTTTAAATTGCATAGAAACAACCCAATCAGGATGTTCTGATGCATTCTTTACTGCTTTTAGTTCTAATCTCAAAATAAAAACATTAAACATACAGAATTTTTGATAAACATTCAACACCTCATTTTTGGCTCAAATCCGGGCTCGTGTCAAGACAAAAGAGTTTGGATCACCAAGAATCTGTTCTTTCGTATGATCTCTTGTCCACTTGTCCATCTGTGGATATACAGGATCAAAGTCTAAAGGTGCATCTTCAAAGATGTCTTTAGCATCTGAAACCTCTCCTGCAATAGAGATATTAT